CTTTATACCCCATATAAGAAGGCTTTATTATGGAAGGTAGCACTTACCGTAAACTTAGGTATACTTTGTTGAAAGAAACACATTTTTCCGACCACAAATTACCTAAATGTCAACATAGAATTGTCTTCGGTTGCTTTTTTGCAAATGTTGCCCGAACGCTGACAGAAAAAAATTAGGAGTAATGATAGCTGTATGCAATTCTGTACCTTTCCAATTGAATCAGATTGATGTAGATATCCATGGTAGATATTTTATACTATTGGCCACTAGACCACTAAATCATAGCAAGTATTGCCCAGTTCACAACAGATAAAAAGCATTATCCAAAGGATTACTTAATTATATATGTGGTGACTTTAATGACATAATTGACTCCACTTTGGATACCTCTAAGAAATCCTAGAAATGCTCCAAGGCCCTTTCTTCCTTTGACAGCTCAGAAAACCTTTATGACCCCTTGCACTGTCTAGCTGACAATGAGGGGAACTATACTTTTTAGCCCCATACCCGGAAATCATAGTTGATGAATTGTAATTTTGTGTTTGTCAGTCAGGAAGAGATCAATTCTCAACACAAACCATATTGAGCTTATTACTGTACATGGTCAGACCACGCACCAGTCTTCATTAAACCATTTTCATCTTCCAATAACAAGTCTCACACCCTGTGGAGACTTATGATCAGATCAAATAGGAAATTACAACTTTTTAACAAATTACAATTTTTCCAAATCAATGATGGCTCAGTTTCAATCAATGCTGTTTTATGGAACACGCATAAATTGTTTCTCAGTGGTCTTCTTAACAAGTTTAGTGGGCAAGAGAAGGGATTACAAAAGGCTACTATATCCCAAATTCTAACTGATATCTGTACCTTAGAGCAAAGTAATAAAGTCCAACTTAATGTACTTGTTGATGTGAAACTACACAAACTTGGGAGTCAGTTGAGCACACACCTTTATAAAGGCTATGATTTCTACAATAAAGTGGTTGAAAACTTTTACATATAACTAGTGAAGTTGCTCTGTGATACACAGAGATTAAACAAATCCTCCTACATAAGTTGTACCTGTTTATCTGCAGCCAACTGCCCTGTACAGCCTTCTACCACACACAGAATGTACACAGAATCTGTCAGCATCTCTCAGAAGCACAAATCAGGGGATGGGGATTTGAATTCACACAATGCACAGCTAAGGCAGAATAAATCTGGGCCTGATTGGAGGGGTGGAACACACCTCCCTCTACACACTATAAGGAGAATAAGCACAGCTTTGGCTGTCAATCACAGGCTTTGTCTAGAGATCTCCTCCTTTTTTTCATTTGGTGTCAGGGAAAAGCTGTCAGAAGTGACTTGAGCTGATAACAGAAAAACCAAGCTGCAGAGAGAAATCAAACTTAGTGCTTTGGATAGAGACAAGTACATCCCATATAATGATGTGCTTTGCTCGTATTTTATGTCTGAGGTTTACAACCACTTTAAAAGATCCTGTACTACCTGTACTGCTATCTGGATGCAGAGAAAGTGCTTGACAGGGTACAATGGGCATATTTGAAACAGGTGCTTATTAAACGGGACCTCACAGGTAATATTCTCATGGCCATATTAAGCCTTTATTCTCTACCAAGCATCAGAGTTTGGACTTTGTGACTCCTCCCAGAACCTTTTAAAATATCTAATGAGACCAGCAGATTTGCCCCCTATCTTATATCATTTTGTCTTTTTAATTTAACCCTTAGCTGAATCTATGCATTCCAATCCCCATATCTTGGGTGTTACAATCAGAAAACAACACAAGAGTGGACTTAAACCCTCCTAAATGTCTCCCTGGATTACAAAACACTCTTTAAACCTTTAGTACAGTCCTGATTTACAGGTTTTTTTAAATCATGTATGCTTTACATCTGTTTGAACCCTTAAAAAAGACCCACATTACTCTTTTCTCTTGGGCTCCAGCTTCCTCATTCATTTATCTAGGAATCCAACTGGCATCACCATCTATTAATCCCTTTCACCTTAACTTCAATAGCTTACTGAAGAAACTACAAGTTATATGTTAAAAGCTTGGTTCAATAAAAGCATTGTGAGCTGTATATATAACTATATCTAAATTGCTTCTTCTATCCCACATCTTAATCTGAATATGTTTTAGACTCTTTTACATGGAAAAAGAAACATCCACATATCCATAGCTCTCTAATGTGTACAGCTACATCCCATGTGGGAATAGGAACTCTTAACATCTACTCATACTGTAAAGCAGTCATATCAGAAAAAATGAACTATTGGTGGACCTTCTCCCCTGCAGCTTCCTGGTTACAGAGTGAAACAGTAGCAATCAAAATATCACCTAACCTTCTTTTAAGTGCTCTACTCCTTAGCCCTTGACCTCGTCACTCTTTTCTGGGTATAATTACAGTGACTATGAATGTCTGGTCTTCCATCCTACAAATAAGAAAAAGCATACATATATCCTCTTATGCTTTACTAGGTCACAAAGCTTCTCTTCTCTCTGATCTGTATTTACAAGTCTGGGCCTCAGCTGGCATGAAATGATTGGGCAATCTGTATGCCGACACAGATTCCAGTACTTACCAAGAGCTGTGCTCCAGATTTCATGTCAGTGATATCAGCCTTCATAAAAACAGTATTTTTGCCTGTTCTTAACAAAACTCATTTACTGATACTCAGGGATCTGCTGAACATTTATGATCATTCTACCTTGTGATGCAAAGGCTTTTCAAATTACTTCTTAAACCGATTTCTCATGACAAAACACCATTGATGGTTTACTGGATGGATCTACTACAGTATTATCTTCCTCATAAACAATGGTATGCAGCACTTGAAAATCCACTAAAATTCTCTAAATGCATCTCACATTGGGAGTCTGCGCAGAATTTTCAATACTCCTCCATACTTGTTTCAATATACCCAAACTAATCTCTTAGCTGTTGGCGTAACTGTGGTAACAAAGGATCATTACTCCATATATAGTGGACCTGCCCTTACCTCACCAAATCTTGTCAGGGCATTAATTTTGTGCATGTGTCTTTGTGTGTGTGTATATCCTCCCTTATATTATCCTTTTTCCTTTACCTCTAATAATGTATTTGGGATATTCCTTCCACCCCCACACCTCAAACAATCCAAACCATTGCAACTCCTTTTATGCTTATCCAGTGCACATACACACCCAATATTATTAAGTCCACATGTTTTCAGTTGATGGCACTCATGAGATTTGGGAAGTGTTCCCACTGATAAACAGCCATTTTGATTGCCTCCGCTCAGAATCTGTCTGCAGAAAGTGGATGTATTGAGGCACAAGGTCAACAATGGCATCAATGACTTGCATAAACATTATGGACACTGTTGGATGGCTGACTACTCCAGAGGTAGTTTGAAAGAAACTGCAACTCAAACTGAAAAGGTTTTCTAGCAAACTCACCATCCCAGGATCTGTTTGGCTGCATACAGTAGTGACTTTTTCCTCCATAAGGCGGTTCAGGTACATAATAGCTTCTCTGCTCATCCTGAATCTGCAATAAATATTAATATATTGCATGGCATCCAAATATGTTCACCTGGCAAAAATACATGGTTGGCATACTCTAGGAAGAGATTTACTGTCAATCGTTACATCTTCAACAGCCTTAGCAGCATCTAGTGCTGCTAAACCTACAAGGAGCATCACCATTTAATTGACCTTTGTGAGTAATATATGAGCCTGTGTTCAGAGTTCTTTATGCATCCTCCATATGCACATCAATAAGCTGAAGCAATGCTCATGCATGTGTTTTAGCTCCAACATAAAATTTACATTGTATTCATAAGAAACAAAAAAGAAAATTATGACATCTTTGTCTCCTTCATTTGTCCAAACACTGCTTTCATCCTTTGCATATTTCACTTGCAATGTTATACGGTTTCTTTATGAATATTGTGATGGCTTCATTTTTCATATCTACAAGCCTAGCTACTGTACATTAATTATTATTCTATCAAACCATTAAACAAACACAGCTAATTTACACACAAAGAACAGACCATAACTAATTAACTAATCTCAGACCTAATTAACTTACTAATTAATCAGCATTGCACTTTGGGGCGTTATACCAGAAAGAGCCCAGGCTATTAGAAAGCTCTAAGCAAAAAATAAATAAAAAAGTCTTCCAAAAAAGAGGGCAAAAGCCCTAAAGGGCACATCAGCTGGAGGCAGACTAAGGGACTCCTCTGGGAAAGCCTCTGATTCCAGGGGATCGGAGAATTAAACATCAACTCTGGGCCATCAAAACATCCTTCCTTTGAGCCTGGGGAAGGACCATCAATGAGTTCCAGAGGATCCAAAAGCCTGAATCAATGCTTTTCTTCAAAGCAAAATAGGGCCCTCACAGTGGCCTTTGTTAAACTCTGGCCTGGGAATTTTAACCCCAGACTTCTGCAGCTATAAAAAAAAGGAGTTTTGAGAGGAAGCTGTCAGAATAGTTATGCAGTGAGCCAACAACAACAACCACAGATCACGTGAAGCAGTGTGCATCAAATATTTTGCTCTACATTAATCACTTGAGCTCTGGAAGGTTTTACCCCCTTAATGACCAGGCTATTTTTGTTATTCAACACTGCACTAATTTAACTGGCAATTGCGTGGTAATGCAGCACTATACACAAATTAAATTTATATCAGTTTTTTTTCACACAAATAGAGTTTTCTTTTGGTGGTACTTGATCACAACTGTGTTTTTAATATTTTAACCGCTTGCGTACAGGACACTTATACGCCCTTCCTGCCCATGCCAATTTCCAGCTCTCAGCACTGTCACACTTTGACTGACAATTGCGCGGTCATGGAACACTGTACCCATATGACATTTTTATCATTTTTTTGAGACCGATAGAGCTTTCTTTTGGTGATATTTAATCACCTCTGGGTATTTTTTTCTTAAACAAACCAAAAACCGCTGAAAATTTTGAAAAAAAAATGTTCTTAGTTTTTGTTGTAAAATTTTGTAAATAAGTGATTTTTCTCCTTCACTGATGTGCGCTAATGAGGCTGCAGTGATGGGCACTGATAGGCTGCACTGATGGACACTGATAGGTGGCACTGATGGGCACTGATGAGGCACTGGTAGGTGGCACTGATGGGCATTGACAGGCATCACTGATGGCCACTAAAAGACAGCACTGATAGGCGGCACTGATAGGCAGCACTGACTGGCACTGTTAGACGGCACTGACTGGCACTGATAGGAGGCACTGATGGGCACTGACAGGCACTGATAGGTGGCTCTGACTGGCACTGATAGGTAGCACTGACTGGCACTGATGGGTGGCACTGATTGGCAGCACTGATAGGTGGCACTAACTGGCACTGATGGGTGACACTGAAAGGCAGCTCAGATGGGCACTGATACATGGCATTGATGTGCACTGGTAGGCACTGATATGTGGCATTGATGTGGCACTGGCACATGGCACTGTTCAGCACTTGCAGCTGGCACTGATGGACACTGACAGGTGGCACTTCTGGGGCCACACTGATCATCAGGGCACACTGATCATCTGTGCCCTGATGATCAGTGTACATGTCCCCTCCGTGGCATGCCGATTACCGGCTCTCCTCTCCTCTCGAGCTGTCAGCGTGACAGCTCGTGAGGAGAGAAATGCCGATAACCGGCATTTCCCTGTTTACATGTGATCAGCTGTGATTGGACACAATGTAAATCGCTGCTCTGCATGCTCCCTGAGCCGCGAATGCGTGGTGAGAATGGGAGGATACCATATGACGTCCTCCCAGAATGAGAGAACCACCTTGCGCCCGTCATTGGACTATATGGTGGGCGGGAGGTGGTTAAATAAAAAAAAGACTGAACATTTTGGGAAAAAACAATATTTTCTACTTTCTGTTATAAAACATATCCAATACATCAGATTTCTTCATAAATTTAGGCCAAAATGTATTCTGCTATATGTTTACCCATAACAACCTGATAAAGAATAATGTTCTTTAGCAAGGAACATACATTGTACATTAATAATTATGCTATCTAAATTAGTGTGTGTTGTAAATTGCCTCCAGCATTGGTCCTGTTTCTTCTTGCTGAAGGCTGCCATTTTGTTGAAGCCCAGAGTCCCTGAACAGCAGTAAATCATAAAGCTGAAATAAACCCATCTAACAGTTTAAAAAAATATTGCTGACTTTCACATTTGATTGTATCCTGAACCAAACTGTCAAACCATCAAATGACTCGTGTCATAACTAATCAGATGTACAGCACCATGGCAACAGCAGATCAAACAGAGGCTAATTTAGCAGCTTCTTTGAATGTACAGGAGGGTTTAGTTCAACTTTAAGGCTGGCAGGAGATTGGTCACTACAAATTTGGCAGCAGGGTGAGACAGTGTATCACTGGATTTTAAACAGTGTATGAACTTATTTTTAATGTTTTTATATAGCTATACCTGCAAAAGGGGCCGGCTTGAAGTGATCTAGCAGAACTTAATTTTCTTACTAAAGTGCCACTTTAACATTCATGTATCTTTACCTTTTTGCTCACCAAAGTGTGTGCAGTCGACTTTTAAATGTAAGCGATAGGCTGGCTACCCAGTGTGATAAATTATTAGAGCAAAGTAGACCATCAAAAGAATCTTATTGATAATTATGATCCAACAGGAAATTCTCGAAGAGTTGAGGCATTTCCACAAAATATGTATCTAACACATGCAGGGTACATTGGCGCCAAGGGTACAAGGGGGCCAACAAAGGGGCAATGCCTCTTTTAGGGCCCCTGTTTCCTGTGGGATTGCGATAGTTAGGAAGTATCAACGATCCCTTGAGTGAATGAGAAGGTCATAGGGTTCAAGGCCACCCTCATCTCCTCAGAAGATCCTTGTATTGAGCAGGTTTCAAGGCTCTTAATGCAAGCTTGGGGCATGTAGGGAGCCTTGTGGAAGGTCATCTGATCTTGGGAACATTTATGGAGGGTCATATGACCTTCTGGAAGGTCTTGGGAGGCTATATAAAGGAGGTTCTGACCCCAAGAGCTCACTCACCTCAGGAGGTATCTCTGTGGTGCTCGACTTACACAGAGTCTCCTAAGGCCACAGACAAAGATGCTCATGTGGCAATTGATCAAAAGAACCAGTGGGGAAGGAGGAGAAAAATGGCTCAGAAGCTGCCTGGACTTACCAGGGTCTTCGGGTCAGGCTGCCGACATCGCTGGGGAAGAGCCTGCCACCATGATCGACTTCTCACCTCCTGATCCAATGGAGGAAGACTCCCTAGTCTGCCCCCAGGAAGAGGAAGCAGAGGCCCACCAAAGAATAAGCCACAGAGGAGGGGCCAGAGTTAGTAAGGAAGTAAAGAGGCAGCAACAGCAACTGGACCAGTACTCCCCTTCTCTGCCCAGAGATGCAGCCAGGAAGAGAGTACTGGGTGGGTATCTCCGCACAGGTGAAAAGCGTTGGGAGGCATGTCTGAAGGCGGAGCTAGCAGGGATCACGTGGAAGCATTTTCAAAACAGAAAACATCCTGAACTTGCAGCATCTGAGGAACACAGAGTGGTGGTCAGAGAGGCAGCTTGACCTCCTGACCTGAAGCGGAAACTACAGAACAGGTTGGTAACAACACATTGAGGACAGCTCCAGCTGGCAATGTTATCCCTGTTCTCTGCTCCCAAGCACTGCTACCATCAGAAGCTTGTGACCCTGAACTCTCTGATGTTAGTGAGTTGTCTAATTTGACAGTTCTTTCTAAAGTTAGTAATATTGCTGACATTTCTACTTCTGTTATTGATAATGTTGCTGTTGTATGGTTGCCTTCTAGTGGCCCTGCTAATTCCAGTAATTTCGACAGCAACTCAGCATTATCAGTAATAAAAAAACTAATATACCTGAAGGAAGCTCTACCATGTGTAATATCTCCTTTGGGTTTTCATCTTTCTGATTCTATAAAGCTGATTATTGATATTAAATCTCTCCTCCTATGTTCTAAAGAATTTCTTTACAAAAATGATCGGAAGGATGGCACAGGATTATCATAGAAGACCTGTGGCTAGATCTTTTAACAAATGGTTACAGGCCTTCTGTATATTTTCTTGTGTTCTATGTAAACGTTATCCAGAAAGTAGTGGTGGTCTTTCTTGTCACATTGATATTGTATTAGAAGCATATAAAAATGTTGGTGGCATTGGTTGATTTGCATATGATGAGTCTTTCAGGCAAAAGCTTGCAGTCCATCCTTCTTTACATTGGGGTATGAAGGACATAGAATAATGGCTTAATCTGTTTCTGCCACAATGACTGTCTTTTGCAAAACACCCATGGCACTACACCATCATATAAAAAGGCATCTGTTTCTCTTTTACTGACACTTAGTGCAGATGGCCCACTACATGTTAATATCGACATGAATGTGCATTTTGTTCAGGAGCACATTCAATCACAAAATGCTTTAAAATATTGGCTAATGCAAATCCACAACAAAAACAAGAGATTTGCTTTTCAAAAGCAACATCCCCAGTGAAGCTGGCAGAAATGTTGCCTTGGCTTCAGGTATACCCCGACTGCCAGAAGGCTCTTCTGCTCTATAATAGTTTTAGCCAAGGATTTGTTCTTCCATCTTTTGCAGGTATAGGTTGTACATTGGTTAGGAATCCTAAGTCAGTAATCCTATAGTAAAAGAAAAATTGCACAAAGAATTACAGGCGGATAGACTTGCAGGCCCTTTTAGTTCTTCTTTTAAAAATTTGAGCATCGCACCTTTAGGTATTGGCCCTAAAAAAGAACCCAACAAGTATAGATTAATCCACTATTTATCTTTTCCAAAAGGATCTTCTCTTAATGACAGTGACCTATCCTCAGTTTCCTATGCCTCATTTGATGAGGCTTTGAAAAAACTTAGGATGCTGGGAAATGGAGCCCTTTTGGCAAAGGCTGATATTAAACCGGCTTTTCGCCTATTGTGCATTAACCTTAAGTGTTTTAATTTGGTAGGTATTTTCTTTGAAAGTTTTTTTTATTTCAACAGGTGTTTACTGGTGTTCTATATCCTGCTATTATTTCGAAACCTTTTCTACTTTTTTAGAATGGTTAATATCTGAGGAAACAACACTCCTTTCCTCATTCATTACTTGACGATTACTTGCAGCTTCTGATGATTGTTTGAGGATGTTGAACTCCTTTTTTTACTATCTGTATGCTTTTTGGGATTCCACTAGCATATGAGAAGCCAGTATGGCTTACATGTTGCCCTAGATTTTTTGAGTATCACCATTGATGCTGCCTTAATGGAATTCAGGCTACCTGCTGAAAAACTTGAGAATAAAAGGTTTTTTGTACGTAGAAGGAAAAGTACATTAATAAAATGCAGTCGCTTCCTGGTTTACTTGCTTTTGCAACTAGGATATTACCTGTTGGAAAACATTTTTACCACAGGTTATATATGGTAATTGCAGGTTTAAAATCACTATCCTCTCTTGTGTGGGTTACCCATGACATGCGAGAAGACATGTTAGTTTGGTACCAGATTCTAGATAATTTTAATGGCAAGGCAGTTTGGCACCAGGAATTCATTTTAGATTGGGATTTTTGCCTTTTCACGATGCTGCAGGATCCATGTGTTTTTCAGCAATCTGGTGTGCTAGACCTTGGAATGAGCGATGGCATGCTAAACGCTATTTGAAAAATATTGTGCTTCTGGAGCTTCCCATCAAAGTTTCTATTGAGCTATAGAGAAAAAGCTTCAGTAATAGGTGTGTACGCTTAAGTAAGGACAACAAAGGAATATTATTCGCCACTAACTGTCTCTCATCAAAGTCTCTGCCAGTCATTATTTTACTTCTTTATATGGTCCACAAATGTTTTCAATTATATTTATGGCTGAAAGCCAAACATATTCCTGGTAAAAGTAATGTTCTGGTAGATTCTTTGTCTCAGTTCCAGATGACATGTTTCTTCAATATATTCCCGGAAGCAGACCCAACAGGCATGGTTTTCCCTTCTCACTTGTGGGACCTCATTTTGGTCACTGACAACATAAAGCAGTTATTGGCTCCTTCAACATGGGCAGAATATCAGTCTACCTGGTTTCTCTGGATATCATTTTTGGAATCAGTTAATGCAACTCCTAATTCTTTTTCTGAAGATTTAAATCGTTATTTTTAAATTTCCTATTGAGTAATGAATATTCATTGGCTACTATTTACAAAATCCTTTCCGGGGTTTTCTGTTTTTTAAAGCTAAACAATCTGCCTTCTTGTTTTAACCTTTTTTCAGTTCGTCAGTTATAGAAAAAAAAATTTTTTCATATTGATTCTAGAAAAAACTATTACCCTACATATTTTAATTCACCTATGCACAATTAAAAACTCAGTTTGTTTTTCTGCTTTTGAGACAGTTTTTTTTCGGGCAGTTTTTTCAGTTGCTTTTTTGCTGCTATTTTCAGAAATGGTCTTTGCTAACAAAAAAAGATGACACCAATATCCAATTAAAAGAAGTCGTCAGTGAAGAGCAGGTCATTAAG